TGAATTTACACTGTTTGACAGCTACTCCATTTAGAAAACTTAATATAGAAATATCAAAAGCTTATGATAAAACTGCTAAAGAAAGTATGAAGCGTGCCACAAATGAAATGAAAGATAACTATACTGATGATAATAAACCAATAATAAAACATGTTAAGATTGATGGTGCATGGCAACGACGCGGCCATACCTCCCTTAATGGATTTGTAAGTGCAATTGTGGGTGATAAGGGCGTTGATTATGAAGCAATGTCAAAATTTTGCATGGGCTGTAGAATATGGAAAAATAAAAAAGCTTCACCACAATACGATGCTTGGAAAGCTCAACATGCTTTTCATATAAATCATAAACAATCTTCTGGGTCAATGGAAGCAGCTGGTGCTGTAAAAATATTTGCATGTTCAATTAAAAATAACAATATTATTTATACTCATTATCTTGGAGATGGAGATAGCTCATCTTTTAAAGAAGTAATAAAGTCTGATCCTTATAAAGACTATAAAATAATTCCTGAAAAGTTAGAGTGTGATGCACATGTACAAAAAAGAATGGGTACACGGTTACGAAATTTAATCAAAAGTTACAAAGGAAAGCCAACTCCACTAGGTGGAAAAAAAAACTGACAGAAAATGTGATTAATAGTATGCAAAATTTTTATGGTTCAGCTATAAGAAGTGATACAAATAATATTTATGCTATGAAAAAGGCAATATGGGCTATTTTGTTCCACTGTACTGGATATTCAAATCAAGAGTTTTGCCACTGCTTTTGCCCAAGAACTGAAACTAGTTGGTGTCAATATCAATATGACAAATTACATAATACTTCAAATTATAAAGAACATATTAATTTACCATTATGGATTAGTAACCTTTTGAAACCAGTGTTTAAAGATCTATCAAATGAAGAATTATTGTTAAAATGTGTACATGGGCAAACCCAAAATGCAAATGAAAGTCTTAATGCATTGGTTTGGTCTCGTTGCGCTAAAAACATATTTGTTTGTAAACAAACTTTTGAAATGAGTATTAATTCAGCAATTTTACACTACAATGATGGTACTGAAGGTGTTAAAAATGTTTTACTTTCATTTGGACTATCAGGCGTTGTTACAAATTCTAAATCTTATGAACAAAATGTTTCACGTGTAAAGAGCATGGAGATCAAGTCAAGTGAAAAAGTAAAAAATAGAAGAAAAAGTCTCAAAGCAATAAAAAAAAGATACTCTGATAAACAAAATCAAAATAAAACATCATTTTATGTATTAGGAGGGTTTTAAACATATTGTATATATATTTTTAAACATATTACAACTTTATTTTGCGTTTTATTGAACTTTGATTTTTTGCAAGATTTTGTAACTTCAAAACCAAATATCTTAAGTTAGAAAAATTCAATTTACTTGAAATTTTCACAGTATCTTCAGTATACATATGAAGTTTATTTGAACTAAAATCTTATAATAATTAAATGTATTTATTGCTTATTATTTGTTTTTTATTCTCAATTTGGTATTTTTTTTTACGCATACATAATAAATGATGTACATTTTTTATTCTATTAAGATTCAATGTCATTTTAGTTCAAATCAATTATCTATTGTTGAAGAACAAACCTACAAAAATTCATTGTGATTTGTTGATTATATTTTGTGATATTGTGTTTTAAAATTTCCTTATTTTTTGGTTTATTTTTTTATATAAGTATAGGTAGGCGAGGCAAATTGATAAAAAAAAATTGTCAAATGATTTTTAACATAAATTTACACTTTTTTAGAAGTTCTTTGGAAATAATAATAGTTTTTAAAAGAATTAGGTTTTTTCTAGTCCTACCACCTTAACCGAACACGTTTAATTTTTTTAGTTTGTATGTGAATTCTATAAACAATTAACAATATTAGTTTTATAACAGACACGTGCTAAGGGGTATTATATAAAAAGCACATGGTAAAATCTCTATGCTGCGGCCGAGGTAGCAGCATGGATTTTTGCGTAATTCCTTCAATAGTTATTAAAAAAAAAGATGATCTTAAAAACTTTTTAATTAAACATATCAAGTGCAATAAAAAATTTGTTTTTGTCTTTCCAATTCATGCTGTTGAATAGAGGCGATTAAAATATAAATAAAATGAAGGGGGGGGGGGAGGTGATTCCTTAACCCTTTATCGTATTTTTTTTTTTTGTTGTTAATATAAAAATTTATTGAAATAAAAAAGGTTGAGGAGGTACCCTAGATACTTTTAAAGTACCGACTCGTTCTTTAAAAAAAAGTCATCAAAAATAAAATTTACCCAACTCAATTGTGTCAAATACCCGACTAGCCGAATAAATTCGTAAGAAAACCGACTATAACTTGAAAATCATCTTCTTTGAGGGTAGGGGATGGGAAGAGGACCCCTCCCCCGTAAAAACGTCTCTGTCGATTTCTTAAAAAGAAAGGATGCAGTACAAGAAACACAGAGGTAAAACTCAATTTGGAGTTAATATATAGTCTAGACACTAGGAGAACAAAACCCCTACTTTTTTACGATAAAGAAGATTGTGGTTTCATGAAAAGTGTCATAATAAAGTTACACGGTTTTAATATTTTAATCCGTTTGCAAAATTCGAAGAAAATAGATTTATGAGAAAATATGTAATCCATAAGAGTGAAGAAGCATAAACATAAAATTAAAAAAAATTAAGTGTTTTGTAGACACAAGCTATTTGAGTTTTTCGTATTGTAGCGTGTTTTATTAAAATTTAAAGAATTACTCAGCAACCATTATTTTAAAAATCACCGGCTGCGATTTACCAATTCATCAAAAAAATCATCGTCTGTTGGCAACGTTTAGATGCGATGAGAAAAGTAGCACGAAAACTAGTTAACGAAGCTGGATTATGGAGGAATTTTAACTGAAAAAATTATTGGATCTGATAATATACATTTACTTTCTTTCGTTTGAAAACCGGCCGTTTAGAGCTTTTTTCTTAACGGACACAAACTCTCCGTTAGTTTAACGGGGAGAAGTGAATATAGCTGAAGGGAGTTTGAAGTGACATGGTGTTCATGATTGCAGTGCAATTATCATTATATAGCTTTAAGCTTTATAACCATAAACTAGATTTAGTCTATTTAGAATAGCGTTCATGTCAAATAAAATTATGCAAATGATAAAATAGAGGGAAAAAAAAAATTTCCCAAAGTTTTTTTTTATAAAATTAATAACGACCATTTAAGATTTATTTAAACGCCTCTTTATATTTAATAAAAAAACGATCTTTATATTTATGACGGAATTTCTTTATTTTAAATTTCTTTTATGTCTTTAATTTTAAAGAATTTTTTTTATCCTACAAGTATAGCTTCGCACTTCTCATTGTAAATTTAATTATTTACTTAGTTAAAATTTATTAAATGAAAATTTAGCGCGTAAACTTTTAAGCGGGTTTCTTTTCTTATTTTTCAGTAATGTTCATGTAAATTTTTATTATATTTTTGAATATTTAACTTATAACGGATTGCTTTTTTAAAATGTAATAAAATAAAAATAAAAACTTGAGTGTGCGTATATAAGGATGTGATGATTTTTTTTTTTCAATTATAAAAACGGGAGGCTAATTTTTGTAAAGAATTTTATGGGGATTCCAAATCTACAATTTTTTTTTTTTAAATAATGTTTTGCTGGAAGAAAAGGCGTTGTTTTAAACGGGAGTTGTGCACTTTTTCATATTTCAGACAATGAATGTGACAATAAAGTGCTTTTTTTTAAAATGTTTTTATCAAATTTTAAAAGTAAAGTTTTTATCAAATTTTAAAAGTAAGTAGGGGAGTCTATTTAAGTGAAGAATTTTATGAAGAATCCGAATCTGAAAACAAAATTTTTAAAAAAAGAAGTTCAGGAACAGTTTTAAATGTTATATTTTATTTGGCTATATATAGACAGTTAACAAAGAAAAATATTTATGATTTTTTTATATACGAAAAGATAAATAGTTTTATTTTCTAACTTTTACTTTCAGCTTTTACAGAAATAATAAAAACTTTCACTTTCAGCTATACAAAAATTGTAAACCCTAAGTACTTGCAACTTATAAGCTTTGTTTACATTTACTAGTTTTTTTAATGACGCATTCTTTTATCATTTCTTTAGATAGGCGACTTAATATTAAATTAACTTAATATAAACCTAATATAAAATGAGTAAATATAAAATAATATAAAAATAGTATAAAATGACTTAATATAAAAGCAGTTATTTTTAGTTTATTTTTTCAAACTTATTTTTTAAAGTAGATGGGTTTTAGTTAACTTTAGATCTTACTCTCTTTGACAAATAACTTTTTTCTTTTAAACTACTTACTCCAGCTAAAGGATTTTTGTTGCGAGTCTATTTGGTAATGGCTGGCAAATTAAAAATGTTTAAATAAACATTTTTTGCTTAAGAAACCACCTTTTGTCTGATGCAACTCTTGACGGTGTTGACTGTAGACATGGCAGTCCCGAGCTGGAGAGGAGGTGACGTATCTGGTTTTTTAAGAGTAAGTTCTAAAAATGATAATAAAAAAAAGGTCCTCGCTTGTTCACATTTTCCGACTGCCAACTATAGATCCAATTTTACTGACTCCAGTGTCCAATTTGCCGATTAATAAATTTCGTTGGGGCGGCTAGACACCCTCCTACGCCACCCCTTCTTCGGGACGCCTTTGACTGTGGATGTAATTGTGTATGCAAATTAAACCAATATTTTTTGTAAAAAAGAAAGTTTGAGATAATCATTTTATATCTTTGCAAATCTTTTAAGTGCAAAAGTCTGAAAAAGATTTAAATTTTTCATTTATTCATTATAAAATTATAATTGGTTTATGGATTTTTTTAGAAATAATTAATGATGATAAATATTTCTAATGAAAAATATTTAATTTATATACTAAATTTCAAAAATAATGGTTAACAAATAATGCTACAAACCCCCTAACATTAGATTTTAATCCGTTACGCAATTACAAAAATAGAAAAGCTTATCCACTAAAAAAATAAAAGAAAATGGCAGCGAGAAGTAATTCAAAACACTATTTGTTTACTTTTAATATTGTACTAGATTGAATTATTCAAAATGTTTGGTTCAATGAATTTTATTGGAAGCATTTTACCTTTATCAAATATTGTTATGTGTCCTGCAAATTGCAGTGGCAACGGTGAATGTGTCGGTGGAATATGTTCGTGTGAGGTATGTTCACGACAATATGCAAAACACGTTTAACACATGCGAACATAACTCGAAGATGATAAAATTAAAGTTTTTCAAAGTTTATATTATTGAAATACTTTAATATTTTTTAATTTAAAGGTTCGATTTTCCGGTTGGTCTTGTAATGATCGAAACTATAGTTATTTTTTGTCTTTTGGTATCTTTTTCTACATTGTTTGTTTGATGGCTATTATACAGTTGGTTAGTTAATAATATTTTTTTATGTTTATCATTTCGATTTAGATAAATAAAGTTTATTTTTATAATCATATTCTGTTCATTTTTTTATGATCTGATTATCTAATTTTATTATCTTTATTCTGATCATTTTTCTACGATATACAAAATTTTATATTTGTTTGAGAGAAACCATTATTAATATAAATGATTTTATTTGATACTTTTATTTGTAGAAATAGTTGTTACACAACATACTGCAATTATTGTTATTATTATTTTGTTAAATAAATACAAGTTTCAAAAGTTTAAATTAGCAACTAATTTTAATGAAGAATGGTTAAAAAGTCAGCCAAGTGCATGTTTAATTTAACTTATCAAATATGAGCTGGGCAGCAGTAACAATTATAATAAATTACAAGTTTTATAATTTCCCCTTCCCCATTGAGGTGGGAAATAAACTTATAAAAATTGTGCAGAAATCTGTTTAATGTGAAAATGAGAATGGTCTATTATATCAAAAAATATTTCCTGATAGCATAACTGCTATATCTTATGATATGGATAGAGCAAAACCTGGCTAATAGCATCTATTTCATAGGACTTTTTTTATACACATACTTTTAACAGAAATTTGAAAAAATTTTATTATTTTACTGTTTTGGTTTGATAAAGCCTGAATAATTATTTTTAAAATTCTTAATATTTGGTTTTAAAGCAGCAATCAAAAACATATTGAATCCAGGTACTTCTGACAGTTTTTTTTATTACCAAGCTGCAAAGAATTAACTTGAAAGTATGACCATATTTTTAGCAATAATAGGATAAATCTGACATAACGTGTATGAATGGCCCAAGTGTGAACTGGTTACTTCTTGAAAAGCAGCACTAGCAACAAAAGCCATCTTAGCTTTTAAACATTAGAAATTGCAACCTTCATGGAATCTATGGTTTTTTAAAACCAGTTTTAAAAATACTATATATATGGTTATGTAACTGTTACTGGATTTGAGCTGGTTATGTAACTGTTACTGGATTTGAAAACTTTCTCCATGCATTTTTCTCAACATGCTTGGTCAAAGACCAAAAAGAAGCAAAGAGATTATGTTTAATTTAGGAAAATGTTTAAAAAATGGCAAAGTATTGGCAAGATATTTCTTAAAAGTAAGCAGCCAAAATTAAAGAGTTATAAGATACTTATAATATAATTGACTTTGATTAAATTGAACTTTTTTGGTTGCATTTCTAGTTTGCTGCAGAATATCTTATATCAATATCAATAGACTCAAGTAAGATTGTTGGCTTATGATGATGACACCAATTAAACTCCTTCTTACAAAAAGAAACATAAGCATAAAAGTGTGAGCAACATGAAACAAAAATAAAGAAACTTGGCGAGGCTTTAGTTACAAACTGCATAAAAGTCAGTAAGTGATAACTGCATGTATTTAACTTTGAATAGTTGTGATATTTCAACATTGGAAACATTTGAATATTTTATAGTATTACTCACTGTGTTTTTATTAGTGGTATTCTACAGCTGTTTTGAAAAATGCCTTAAGATGCTTTTTACACATTTTAAGAAAAATGCAATTTAAAAAAAATAATAGGAGAAACCCTTTGTTGAATGTTTTTTTTATCATTTTTACTAATTTCAGCTGTATTTTAAAATAATATAATTGTCTAAAACATACGATTATTTATTTTTAATTTTTTAACACATTGGTTTTCTATATAAAACAGAAATAGTAGACAATCTTTTGTTTTTAAGAGTAAAAACAAGGTGTCTCCAAAGTTTTGATGCTAAGTTTGCAAGTTTGAATGATAGAAATATCAGTTAAAAGTAAGCAAAATTTCATTGAAAAAATCAGGTAAAAATCAAGGAATTTTATTCCAGAATTTTGTTGGCAACCTTATATTGTTACCATAGCTATTATTTTATTTAAAATGTTAAACTGCACATAAGTGTTGGACTAAAAGAAAATATTTGAATATTTGAAATATTTGAAATATTTGACTTGAAGAAAATATCAACAATCTTTGGTACCTTGTAACAGGTACCAAAGATTCGGAGTAGAATTAGAATTCATGAAAGCAAAAACCTTAGTTACATAACTTAACTGAAAATAATTGGTATTTGATTGTGTAAAAAAAAGTACTGGTTTTTATTAGCATTCATTAACTGTTAGAATCTAAAACATATGAAAATTGTAATAAAAATGAATTTAAAATGTGGTTTTTTAGTTTTTCTCCAAATAATAAAAAAACAATGGCAATAACCATGACAGTTGTAAAAAAATCCTTTTGAAAGTTTTTAGGTAATAAAACAGAAAAAAAGTTTTAAAGTTTAAGATAAATAGTAGAAAAATAAAGTATAACGTAAAAACCAAAATATTATAGCTGGTAGTGATGTACTGATGGAAAAGGTAGATTGAGGCTAATGACAGGGCTTAATATATCTATATTATGGTAATGTATTCATACTAGGTATGCAATTTGCATATATAATATTGCAACAGTGTTAAATGGAAAAAAAATTTTGCAAAGTGATTTTCTACTAATTTGTAATTGCTCTGTTCTTTTAAGAACATTGAGCACTCTTTTTTGTGGAATACATTTGAAATTGTTTATATATATATATATATATATATATATATATATATATATATATATATATATATATATATATATATATATATATATATATATATATATATATATATATATATATGTATGTATATATATATATATATATATATATATATATATATATATATATATATATATATATATATATATGTATGTATGTATGTATATATATATATATATATATATATATATATATATATATGTATATATATATATATATGAGGCTTTCCCAGGAAGGGCGTGCGGTTGCACGCCTTGTTTGTCCACGCATAGAATAAAATTTTCTGACTAACTGACCACGTTTTATTATTATGCGTTTCAAGAATTCGCGCCAAAACATAGCTAAACAAAAATACCGCAAAAATGCAAGCAACTTTAAAGTAAATAACAGAAATCTTTTTGTGCTTTAAAATTAAAAAAAGTTTACCTATATTTTATTTATTTATTTTTTTAGGGTGGTAGTTATTTTAGCTATGAAAAATCAAATCAATAAGAAAAATCAAATCAAAAAGAAAAAGAATAATGTTTAAAGTAAATAAAAAAACCTTTTAATGTAAAATTAGTTTATCAATGACTTTTATCAGTCAGTAATACTTTAAAATTTACGATAGAACTATAAACAATTTTTAAATGTTTCGTAAATACATTTAAATGTTTAAATGTATTGATTTAAATGTTTGAATGTATTGATACGCAAGAAAACACGAAAACGATTGCTATTTATTAGTAAAATATATTTGTTTGTTTTTTTTAATGAAAGAAAATTTTATTGTCAAACGATTGAGTTGCTTATTTTGCAATCATTAATTGACATTGTGAACGAGTGTTAATATATAATAATGTCCCGAAGGAACTGTTTTCGTAACAATGACAACAGAAGCAATGCAATTATTTTTTTAACTTCTTTCCTAATAACAAAATTATGCAATTGAATAATTTCAACGTAATAAAAGGCGAGCATTGACTCAGTATAATCAGTTTAGAATAAGTCGAGAACTTTTTTCACATTAAAATTTTGTTATGTTTAAAATCTCAAATAATATATTTAATAATTAAAACAGCAATTCATTTTCTTGTCTAAGTATTGGGGAATAAAGTCATTGCCTTTGCATAAACCTTCGTAAAAACTAAATTAAATGAAAAAGTTTAACCAAATTTGTCTAGCGTAAATAATGAATCAGTTTTTTAATACATTGTCTGATGAAATTCATGAATAAATTACGTATCAAGTCTTTATTTTCATGAAAACTTTATGACTTATCGTCGTCTTTTCCTTGACTTGTATCAAATTTCGTAGCTGAAAATAGCAACCCTAAAAAAAAAAAAAAAAAAAAAAAACAGTATAAAAATTTTGAAAAAAATCTTCGTCTTTTTTTTTTTGTTGTTACAAGAATTATTTTTTTTTTAATTTTTTTTTTTTATTATCAAAATATTTTTCTTACATCCAATTTCAATTTTATACTTTGTTTAGACTTCATTTCCTTTTTTTAAAATTATTTTTTATTCTCTGTGGATAATTTCCGCTTTCCCACGAAATAATGCCGCGGTCACGTTTTCTGAAAAATTTCTTTTATGCGTGGACAAACAAGGCGTGCAACCGCACGCCTTTCCTGGGAAAGCCTGATATATATATATGTATGTATATATATATATATATATATATATATATATATATATATATATATATATATATATATATATATATGTATGTATGTATGTATATATATATATATATATATATATATATATATATATATATATATATATATATATACATATACATACATACATACATACATACATACATATATATATATATATATATATATATACATATATATATATATATATATATATATATATATATATATATATATATATATATATGTATGTATGTATGTATATATATATATATATATATATATGTATATATATGTATGTATATATCTTATACTGCTGAGTTAGGTGAGCATGATGATGTCATACTCACCTAATGTCAAATAGCCTGCTGCCGGGGGCTTCAGTACATACATCGACTGACAAATAGCCTGACTCGTCGTGGAGTGCTGCTACATCGACTGAGGGTTTGGTATGGGTCAGCAACATTTTCATTCATTATTCTTCGTTTTCCCTCATCGTTTTCTAAAAATGCTCACTTAATTTAGGCTAGCAAAAAAAGTGAGCAATTGCGCATATAAATATGCTATAGTAGGTATATATATATATATATATATATATATATATATATATATATATATATATATATATATATATATATATATATATATATATATATATATATATATATATATGTATGTATGTATATATATATATGTATGTATGTATATATATATATATATATATATATATATATATATATATATATATATATATATATATATATATATTACTAGTTTAGAAAATATCCTTTTAAAGGTATTAGTAAGTAAATTTATTTATATATTTATATATTTATATATTTATTTATAAAAGGTATTAATAAGTAAATTAATTTTTCTTTTTTCTGTATTTTATAATGAAGAGTTTTTAAATTGTGCGCACACAAAATTTTAGATCTTGAAACTTGTCCCAGAGGCTATGCAGAAATCCCCAAGCGATCTTATGCCGTTTTTGTTAAAAGGGCTTTTTAGTATAAAAAAATTATATATATACATGAAATAATGAGGATTTGCAATTTATTTTTGTCAACTTTAAAAATGCCCGCCAATGGTTTTAAAGTTTAGAATTTCCTTAGTTTAAGGCATTTTCGTATGTTCAGTGGGAATAGTAAATTAGGTCTAAATTAATCCATTCAACTGCGAGATGATCTCTTAGGACCTCATAAATTATCAATTAATTCTAACAAATCTAAGACAAAAGAAGCAGGAAAAACCAACTGCTTTTGTTAAGGTTAAATCTGACACTGTTAACATTGACTTTGCATCAGATACAACAGACAGCGAATATAGGTCTGATAAGGAAAATTTTGAAATACCACAGGAAAAGACTTCAGAAAAAATTTTAATTATGCTAAAAATATTCTAAAAATGCCAGAAATGCCATTGACATTGGCAAGTTTCTGGTAAAAGAACCATTGGGCCAAAAAACCAACTGTTCATGTCTTTGAAAAAAAAGTGTCCTAAAGATGGAGTAGATCAGGTTGACACCCTTTCAAGATGACACCCTTTTGATTACAATGGTATTTGTGGAGAACGGCTAGAGAGACAAGCCATACTTGCATTAGATGTCTGCAAAAGCTTGAAGAACAAAAATATTCTGAGAAATGATAAGGTAGATTAAATTTTTTTTTGGTGAGATTTAAACAAATCAATATGCCAACTTTTTTTAAAGATTTAAAAACATATAGGTTATACTATTTTCAGAATTTGGAGAAGAGAAGGAACTTTTTTGAGTTAGCAGAGTTGGTCATAATGTATCTAGATTGGGGATGTGAGCCTGCTCTGCACAAGTTTCACCAGCCTGGAACCATATCCCATGTTAGGTTCATGCTTCTTCTTTCCAAGATCCAACAGTTTATTGAAATCAATCAATTATCAAAGATATCAAGAGAATGGCAGACTTTATTGCTATCTTTTACACTTCCTGGTTCCTTACTTGTGAGTTTCTAAACTCTGCTTCAGTCAAGGTAAAATAGAAAAAATAGAATAAAAAAAAATTAATGATGCGATTTCATTGTGCAGTATGCAATATTTGTTTTACAAAAACAGTAATAGAAATAATGAAAGTGCTTTTTATTTTTGTTTGTATTACGCAAGCTTGATTTGAGGTAAAAATAGTATTCAAATTAATTTTATTTAGGATCAGTTCAGCTATTGGCAAATGCTCGACTATGCTCAGATTAAACCTGCTGTCTAGTCAGTATTAAAATTGTGGAGAAACCACACTTGGTATCTAGACCCTTCCTTGGTAGAAATGTTCTTGGCTTCCAAGGACAGTAATAACTTTGCGCAGATGGAGGAGATAACCAAGGTTCTGTTTGCCACAGATAGAAAGCCACTTGGAAGAGATAGAGTAAGGGCTGAGATGCCTCCAATGTATGTTTACCTGAAGGAGAAGGAGTAACCTCCCTCATTAACTAATTTCTTCAAGAAGGAGAGTTGGACTCTGTTCGACACTCTAGACCTTACCATGGAGCAGTGTATTTGAATGGAACTATCCCGCTAACTCTGTGCCTCTAACTCTAAAATCCTCTACTAATAAAGATATTGTTCTGCTTTGTGTATATCATTGATTTTTTTAAGTTTTTTTTTTAAATAAAGATCTTAATCCATTATATATTTTATTTTATTTACCTGCTAAAATTATAATATTATAAATAAAATTTATAATTTATAAATTATTAATTTGACTGATATGATAAAAAAAGTATATGATTTAATTTAAAAATAATATAAAAAAAATGTATAATTGAATTCTAATTTTTTTTATACTGATAATTAAATGTGTTCAGAGGCTTTTTGGTTACTAAATTAGTAAAAACTTATCTAATTTTTTCTTTGACAAGCTGTTTCTCTTTCTGTAGGTTCATCAGGAAGAATGTCCAAGTATTAAAAAATTAAAATTTAAATTTAAATCACAGGAAGCTGGGAATCGCTATAATTAATTATATATCTACTGAAGTTACTTTGCAACCAGGAAGTTACATTAACTACATTAAATTAAAAAAATAGGAAAGTTGTGAAAAAGAATATTTAGAAATAGGATAATTTATTTTGGTCATTTGTTTTTATGATTTTTTAAAAGGTATTTATTTTCATGTCTGCATTTAGAAATTAGCTCAGATTTTTTTGTTTAATAAATTTTCTGGTGTACTAGATAGATATGGAGAAGTTAGGGTTATTGCTCTCGACATTTCTTAAGCCTTTGATAAAGCTTAGCATGCTGGCACCTTAAGAAGAGAACTTATGGCTTTTCCATAAGCTCTCTTCTTAAGGTGTATCAGGTAAAAGATTTTTGAATCCTTCCTTACCAATCGCAGTATAAAAGTTGGTGTAGTGGTAGAGCATTTGCTTCACAAGTGAAAAGTTCCAAATACGACCCCCAACAAGTTCCTGGTAATACCGCACTCAACTTTCTGTTTCTACAAACAGCAGCCTTGTTCTTCAAGGTTTGTGTTTTGGAGTTGAAGAGTCGAGAGAGGATTGTTACCACAACAAAGTATCCTTCTTGACTGTAGTGGGCCCCTTGGCCTTTTTAGAAATATTTTAAATAAAATAATTAAAATAAAACATCTAAAACTAATTTTTTTTATTTAAAATCGTAATAAAATAGTAAAATGCTGCTTTTTTTTTTCTTTCAAATTTTTAGCCAAACACAAATGTTTGATTAGTGTGTGTTTTTTTCTCATTTTTATGCCAAATGTTTGCAATTCGTTGATTTTTGAAACACTGTTTCGAAGTATTTGTGCCAACCTGATGGCAACCTAAAATGCTTTTAGGTCGGCACTTTTTTGCAGACCCTAAGTTCTTTGATTCTACAGGCTGATATATAATATTCATTTTAGTATTTACTAGTTTAGAAAATATCCTTTTAAAGGTATTAATAAGTAAATTAATTTTTCTTTTTTCTGTATTTTATAATGAAGAGTTTTTAAATTGTGCGCACACAAAATTTTACATCTTGAAACTTGTCCCAGAGGCTATGCAGAAATCCCCAAGCGATCTTATGCCGTTTTTGTTAAAAGGGCTTTTTAGTATAAAAAAATTACTTTATTATACTCTGAAATTGATTGACAACAATATTTGTCAACAACAAATTGTTGGATTAATTTTAGCCCTGGTTTTGTATAATATTTCTTAATAATCTAATTGTATTCACGTTCTAGTCCTACCCTCTATATAGTTTGTCATCAACATGGTTGCATTAATTTTATCCCTGGTTTATTTATTGTTTAATCAATATTTAATTAAATTTTTTAATATTTATAAATTTGCAGGTTATGTGTATCTACTCAGACTTTGTGCAGCTTAAAAGGCGAAATTTTCTTTACGCATTTCGATTCACTATCCAAAAACTTATCTATGTAGCTACTATTTTTGCATCTGGATCACGTGCAATATATTTCACACTTGATTTGCATGTAAGTATATATTAGCTGATTATTTTAATTTGATTTGATATTTGTTTTTATACTTATTTATTATTTCTATGGCATTTTTGTTTATATTTTCACCAAAAATATAAACAAAAATACCATAGAAATAATAAATAAGTATAAGAACAAAGAAACCAAAGAGTCTTTGTGTTTACTAAAGAGTAAACACAAAGACTCTTTGGTTTCTTTGTTCATTTAGGTTGTTAAGCCTCAGATCAGCACATCAGCACAATTGATAATAAAAATATTGATAAAAAAAAAAATATATTAAAACATGTTATTAGAGTTTGTTTTGTTTGAAAATAACTATAAATGGTTTAAATATACCAGGGCTCGAATTAAGTGAATTGCAATTCGCGATATCTAGAAGCATTTCCAAATATCGCAAATTGTGATATCTGGAAATGCTTCCGGTCTTTAAATTTTTAACTTTTTAAAAGCCATAAAACTGTTTTGATCACTAAACTCACTAGATATCATTTAATAAAAAATATTTACGTTAATTATGATATAAAATCATATTGTAAAACCATTTTATTACTATTATTTTTATTATTATTAAAAAATATAATTTAAACTTTAATATTTTAATTTATTTTATAAAACATCAGATAAAACTAGAAAAATAAAACACGATAAAGTACGGTATAAATATTAAATAATAAAAAACAAGCGCTAATCACAACAGTCTAAAGGACTTTAACAGTGATCAAATATTTAAATAAAAGAAATTAAATAAAATATAAAATACTTTTATATCTTATTTAAATCTAATTCAATATTTTATTATAAATTAAACGCTTGTAACACTTTAGCTGATACAAATACAAAATTAAAAGAGGGAGGAGTTAATATATAAAAACTAATTCAAACTTTTTATAGTTATTTTTAAAACAGAAACTCTAATAACATATTTAAAAAATATATATTTTATAATTCTTCTTCTTATCAATTAATTAATTTCTAATTTAAAACATTTAAATTTTTAAATAAACAATTCTATAAACTTTCCCCCTAAATAAAAATCTATTTTAATGTTTTATATAATGCGCAAGTATCTTTAAGATATTTTTTAATTGGTTGGTTTTTTATACAAAGTTTCATACAATGCGCAAATAGCTTTAGTATAGTTTTTTATTGATTGATTTTTAAATTACCGCAAAAGTTTTTCAGACCTTTAGTAATAATAGTTTTTGTCTTACAACTTTTTTTTTTATTTGTAATCCTTAAATTACCTGGTGTTTAAAAAGATAATATTTAATAATATGTAAATTTTGACTGTTATTATTTTTGCAGTAGTCAATTTATTGTTTTGTTTTTTCATTAATTTTTGCAATATGATAATTTGACCGTTTCATTAAAATAGTGAATTTAATGATTAGAAATATTTCAGGATATTGCAATTCATGATCACTTAATTCAAGCCCTGTATACTATAAATTAGTTTTTTTGTATGTTTTTAAACAACAACTATTGAGTTTTGTGATAAAAACAGAGTTTTTAAAAAACCAGGGGTCAATGTTATAAAACTTTTTATTGGCATAAAATGCTACCGGCGGAATTTTTTACAGACGTAAATTTAGAGAGGTAAAATGTTTTTTCATTCAATGTTATAAAACTTTTACCGACGTAAAATTTTGCAGGTATTTATGCTCTGAATTTATTTTCGGAAATCTACTGTCCGAATCAATAACATAAAAAAATATATATATATATATATATATATATATATATATATATATATATATATATATATATAGATAGATAGATATATATAGATATATATAGATATATATATATATAGATATATATGTATATATATATATGTATATATATATATATGTATATATATATATATATATATATATATATATATATATATATATATATATATATATATAAAAACACTTATCTAGTCTTATTCTTCAACAACATGTTTCTCCATCAGTAGGTTCATGAGAAAGGTTTATCAGTAGGTTCAATAGTTGATCAGGCTTCCTGATAAAAAAAACCTACTGATGGAGAAACAAGCTCTCGAAGATAAAAATTGTTTTTATTAATTTATTATTGCTCTGTTCTTTAAGAACATTTATATATATATATATATATATATATATATATATATATATATATATATATATATATATATATATATATATATATATATATATATATATATATACGTATAAAATTGCTTTTGCCTCATTGTTTTTCATTAACTTTCAAATTTTCAGTGATCAAAATAAATCAAATCAAATCAAATATATTCAGAATAAAGTTGACACATTAAGGTTATTTACAAATAGTAATAAGTAGTAATATGAAATAAACACCTGTAAAATTCAATACTAATAAAATGGTGATAATATTATTTGATTCATTTCATTATTATTGAAGTATTAATAATAATATTTATAATGCAAGTAGGAGTAAATAAAAATAATAGTTGTAATAACAGCAATTAAAAGTAATAGTAAAGATTGTAAAAAGTATACACTATACTATTTTAATAATAATAACAAAAATAACAGTAAAAATAACAATAACAGTAATTTAACAAAAACAATAATATAAAAAAAAATTATTACAATTTTAACAGTAAGAATAATAATATTTATAATGTTAAAAGTATAGTAATAATAATATTAACAATTATAGTGATGAAGAGAAAATACTTCAGTTTAAGAAAGATTAAAATAATAAATAGCTGGTTATTTATATTTTATAACTTTAACTATTTTTTAGAAAAATATTGCTTATAAATCTTATACTTTCCTTCAACTTATTATTTATAACCCTAACTCTGAGCTTCTATTTATCTTTTTTTTTTTTCTCTTTTTTGTTTTGTTTTAATATTTTTTGTTAAATTTAATAAGTTTAACAAAAAATATTAAATCACAACAAAAAAGAAAAAAATTAGATAAATAGAAGCTCAGAATTAGGGTTATAAATAATAAGTTAAATGAAAGTTTAAAATTTATAAGCAATGTTTTTCTAAAAAGTAGTTAATGAGAGCAGTTTTAAATTTTGAGAATGACTTGCATTTCTTACATGACAAATTCAGTAAAAAAATATTAACAAAGAAATCGCTTGAAATTAAAATTTACCAAGAAATGTGCACTTAATTAAAATGAATGAATTTGTAATAAGTTTTTAACTCAACGTAAGTACTTTGAAAAGTTCTAAACTACAGGTTTCTACAACTAAATATTCATATCTCTGGATCTTCAACAAAAATTTCCCTAGGTCACTCCTCCGGAACATTTATCGACTGTAAACGTTTCGGCTGTAGAAATTTATCGACGGTAATTAAAAAAAAATTTTTTTAACATGAAACAATGAAACAAATCATTTACGCCGATAAAATTTACAGCCGGTAGCATTTTACGCCGATAAAAAGTTTTATAACATTGACCCCAGAAGCATTTCACAATTTGGAATCACTTTATTCGCGCCTCAGCAGATAACATGATTAGCAATGATGTTGTCTATTTAGTGATGATGTTATCTATATAAATTTAAGACATTGTTAACATGAACACATATTTAGCAATTATGCAAATTTAAATTTTTAGAATCTTATTCCTTCTTCATATAAAGAAAACTTGTTTTTAACTTACTATGCATTTGTTATGACAGGATTATCTCTGATTATTTGTTTTTGGGCAGAGGTAGGTTTTTTTTTTAAACTTTAACTTTGTTTTATTTCATTGTTATTGTTGATAAAATTGTTCTGTCATAAATAACAATTATAGTTATAGTTATCATATATACAGAAAATTATGTAAAAAACTATTTATTGTGTATGCAGGGGTTATTCTAAGACAATATTTTGGACTGCTATATCCCTCTGACACACTTTTGCCATCTCAAAAAAAATTTAAGCAGAGAGAAGATGGGGTGCAGGAATTTTGTGTGTGCAACAATTAAAAACTGCTTGCCATAAAATATGCAAGAAAATAAAAAAATTAGTTTCTTTTTAGCTTTATAATAATGAATAATTTTTTAATTTTTAACTGTTTTTAAAGATTTTAAAGTCAGAACTTATAGAAAAATGTTAGTTCTATTTATTAAAAAGTTAAAAGTCATTATAAATAGTACAAGGGGCGAATTAAGTGATCGCGAATTGAAAATTCCGTAAAAAATTCTGGTCTTTAAATTTTTAGTTTCTTCGAATGGTCCAAAAAAAACGCGCAAAAATGGTTTTCAAGAAAAACAAAATTTGAAGACCAGAAACTTTTATAGAATTTTCAATTCACGATCACTTAATTCACCCCTTGTTATATAAATAAAAAATAAAATGTATAATAAAAAATAAATTAGTTCAGAAAATCTTTTAATATTTTGTTCTTTTTTTTTATTTTGTTCATCTGTTTAAATGATATAAAAAATGTTTTAACTAATTAAAAATGTTAAAACAAATCATTTTTTAATAACCAATTGTTGACATGTCTAGAAGTTATTGACATTTCTAGAAGTTATTGACATTTCTAGAAGTTATGTTTTAAAAAAACTTATCAAACCAATAACAATAAACAAATTGTCCTATAAGATATTATTGCAATACATAGTAAAATACATACAATTTTTGTGCTTCAAATTGCGTAAAGAATTTATTTACTTGGAATAGATAAAACAAGTCATTGATTTTAAAATGGCTGATCAATGATGGATTTATACATTTTTACAATAATCACATTTTAGAAATTAATTTATCAATTAATATATATTTATATATATATATATATATATATATATATATATATATATATATATATATATATATATATATATATATATATATATATATATATATATATATATATATATATATATATATATATATATACAGGCCTTGTTTTAAAGCGTTACGCCTAGAGCGATTTACGTCCGCCTAAAGCGCTTTTTACGTACGCGTAGAGCTGTTTTGGTTAAGCTACTTTTTATCATTTTTTAACTTTTAAATTAGCGGTAACATAAAAGAAGTAATTAATTTTCAAAAAAACCACATTAACTTTTAAATAACGATATGTAAAGGTATTTATTAAAAAAAAGAATTTACTTTAAAATTAATTGTTGTAACTTTTTATCGCGATATATCTTTCCTTTTTATAGCAATTAATTTGACGCTAAACTTTTTATCCAAATATTTAGCAACATGAAAAATTGTTTGTCAATCCTTAACTACAAATTTTTTGCTATGTTTTTAATAAAAAGTAGTAAAGTTTTTAGTAAAAAACTTTTAAAAAATCTATATTCCATATTTATTAATACAGAATATAAAAGTTTTTTGTAATATAGATTTTTTATGAATTTTTTACTGAATTTATAATAAAAAACATTTGCAAAAAAATTTGTTATTAAGAATTGACATTTTTTTTAATAAAATCTCAAAAAATGTCTTAATATTTTTGTTATCATGATAACAAAAATATCAAGACATTTTTTCGAGATGTTAAAAAAAATGTCTTTGCTTTTCTTATTAGTTTAATAGTTTATAGCTTATAGTTAGTTTAATAGTATATAGCTTTTCTTATTAGTTTATTAGTATATAGTTTAAGTTATGCGGGGGGAGGGGGTCGGCACAGAAAAAAAAATTACCTGTTACTCGCAATATTTGAATGAAGACAATTTGTTAAAATTCTTCTGCGTGCGATTCAATAAGTTTTTTTTGTCATAAATCAAGTTATAATATAAGGTAAAGAAATCATGAGTAGACTACAACATCCGCTGATGACACTAATATTACGTTGAATATATTTATATAACGGAGGTTTTATTATGCACGCGCACATTACAGGTTCCGTTAAATAAATACTAAGGCACGTTTTAGTTTAATGACAGTCTCCATTTTTTACTAATGAATATGTATTTTTCTTTATAAAACAAAACAAACTAGTATATAAAAACCTTGTATATTTCTATTATCTCTAAATTATTTAAAGTTCAAATATGGATTGTATTTTGAAGGACAAAAGATTTACTTTAAAAACTTTTAAATCTTGGGACTTTGCCGATGCGATGATCACAGAAAAAGAGAAGACTTACGTTATTAAAATCAAATGTAAGTTATGTGATCTTCATCAAAATAAAATATCCAAAAACAATAGTGCCGTAAGGACAACTGCCCAACGGTTTATAAATAATACAAGTCATGTTAAAATATTTTAACATGTTACTATATTTTAATTAAGTTGATATATAATTAAAAATAAAAATATAGTTTAATAAATAAATTAAATTTATTCTTAACAAAGATTACCTCATATTTATTCTTTTTATTTTATTTTATTAAGTTAAGTTGCTTACAAACGAAAAAAAAAAAAGAGTTTTGTAATTATACGTAGAATGAAAATACTTTTGAGTTTGTTTATAAGTTAAGGAACTTAATTTTTAATAAACAAATTTTTACGAACGTTTATTATAAACAGATACGATTCAAATTATTAAATATACTTAAATTATTTCAGTTGAGTATTTTTATAAGTTTGCACGATTAAAGTTTGGCGTACAAGTATTTGTTTTTTTGTTTTAAGAATAATTAATAAAAGAGTTTGCATAATTAAGACTTTTATATTTAATTTAATTTTTTTTTTAATTTCCTAAAATTAAAAAAAAAAAAGATTTAATCGTTGAAAACGATTTTTCTCTATAGCTCTGTTTCTTTGTGATAGTTTAAAAAGTTAAATATTTTTACAATAACATAAAAAGTTTATGAATTAAATTCCTAGCGAACGCGTTCTAAACTACGTATCAAAAATACGCTTCAAAGCAGACAAAACTTTTTTATATTTTTATAAAACGCAAGTTGAAACGCTTTTAAAAATTTAAAAAATATTTAAAAACTTAAGTTTTTCTTTGCTAGTCAAAACAAAATCGTTGTTTAAATAATTAACATGGGTTTGTGTTTATCAATGTTCATATTTTTTGTTTACTCTAGAAATTTTTAAAAATAAAAAAAATCATTATTATTTTTTATTCAATAACAATTAAAAACAATTATTCAAAAACAAATTTCAGAAATAATTAATATATATATATATTTTTTTTTTACTAAATAATATTGAACTAAAATTAATAATAAAATAACAATTGAAAACATTACAAAATTTTCATAATAAATTTATATTTAAAACGTTTATAGTTTATATTTGAGTTAATTGTTAAATTGAATTAGTTTGCGGTTATTTATTTATTGCGGTAGTTAAAACACTTAACGCCTATAAAAAAAAATAAAGATAATTTTATGACGTCAAAATCGCGTTAAGCTAATGCATTAAGCACTTTTTTTATTTAAAACAAGGCCTGATATATATATATATATATATATATATATATATATATATATATATATATATATATATATATATATATATATATATATATATATATATATATATATATTTGTGTGTGTTTGTGTGTGTGTGTGTGTGTGTGTGTGTGTGTGTGTGTGTGTGTGTGTGTGTGTGTGTGTGTGTAATTCTGAGCATCACATATTTGATCTTCATAGCATGTTTCATCAATTTTCACCTAATAAAATTATATTTTTAGGCCATTTAAGAATTTTTATTAATAATATTTTTATTGCTAAGATATGTCCTGATCAATTACTTTTGAGTCCATTGCATACGACTTAAAATTCTTGCGCATTTTTTTTTTTCCCTCAAGGCCATGAAGGCCCCTTCAGTCGAGGAGGCTACTAAAGTTGTAATTACAACCCTCTCTCAACTCTATAATTCCGAAACATGAACCTTGACGAACAAGGTCGCTGTGTGGAAAAGCAAGTTGAGCATGGTACTACCAGGGATGTGGTAGGGATCGAACTTGGAACTTCTCGCTTATGAGGCAAGTGCTCTAGCACTACACTACCGCATCTTAACACTCTACCACTATACCACTACCGTATTTTAACAGACATTTTGCCTATTATTGATCAAATTTCTTGCTTTGCTTCTCAACATGACTCCAATACCATCAACTACTCCTTTTCCATGTTTTCTGTTAAGAAGTTCCATTCAATACAGTTTTTAAAAAATTTAACTTTCAGTTGTGTGATGAAATGCATAATAAACTTGCTTTTGAATTGACTGCAACCATTGTTAGAGTAGATGCTTATATTAGTTTCTGTTTCCGGAACGGTTTTAATGATCTCTTCCAAAATTAGAGTGACAAGAAATAAATCATGTTTACTAACATCTGTTACAAAGGCCATAGTTTTACAAATTTCATGGTGCCAAATTGCTATTGTAAAAATTGTCACTTGTTCTTGGCTAAAATGAGCTGTTTTGGTTGATCCTGTCCAAAACAGTGGAAATTCTCTTCTAAGTCAGTGTGGTAAACAGTTTAAATGAATCATTCTTGTTTTTGCACATAAGTATGCCAAATAAAATCTTGAAGTGACTCATAAATTTCCTTCAAGAGGCAACGAATATTCTCCGTTTTTTTCTGCCTTTTTGATCTAAATGTATTGATTGTCTCCGATGTCCTGATTTTATTATTTTTTCATTTTATAGTTTGATTTTTTTTATTTTTGCCCAAGCATGCCAAGAAATATCCATATCAAAACTCAACTGATCATTTACCAACTCAATATATATTTTTAAATTGTGCAAGTCTCTGCATTGCGCACATTCAATTTTAAAGCATTCTGTAGATGGCACTGCACAGAGTAGATTTTTGTCTATTGCATCAATATGTTGGAATTTTGAAAAAAAGCTTGGACTGGTCTCACTGAGAGCTTCAAACAAAAATTTAATGTTTTCTTGGCTGTCTCAAATACACATTTCTTGAGGTGTTTTAGAGAAACTTAAAACATGTTCTGGATCATAAAACAACGATCATTGACTTTTAAATTTGGATATCTCATTTTGTTATTGATCTGAAGTGTAATTCTTTAACAGTTGATCTGTGATCAACAGTTGATCTGTGATCAACAGTTGATCTGTGATCAACAGTTGATCTGTGATCAACAGTTGATCTGTGATCAACAGTTGATCTGTGATCAACAGTTGATCTGTGATCAACAGTTGATCTGTGATCAACAGTTGATCTGTGATCAACAGTTGATCTGTGATCAACAGTTGATCTGTGATCAACAGTTGATCTGTGATCAACAGTTGATCTGTGATCAACAGTTGATCTGTGATCAACAGTTGATCTGTTATCAACAGTTGATCTGTGATCATACACTTCTTTAACAGTTGATCTGTGATCATATACTTCTTTAACAGTTGATATGTGATCATATACTTCTTTAACAGTTGATCTGTGATCATACACTTCTTTAACAGAGTGCATCAAAAATCTTCATTTTTTTCAAAAAGTTTCATTACATGCTTTCACGCAACTGATCTCATCTGATTCATTAAAAAAATTTTGTGAAAAGTAAATAAACCTATAAAGTCATAGACAATAGTCTTTTTTTTTTTGTTATTTTTTTTGTTATTTTATTAATTTACCTGTTTAAAAGTAACTAAACAGCCTTTTCTGTTAATAATTTAATTTAATTTAATAATTTAGATTTTTGACTCAAATAACAAATTTTTGCCGCTAAAATTTGTGAGTTTTGTTATAAAATTTTAATGCACTTTTACATGATTACTTAATCAGTTGATTTTTTTCATTGTCACATATTTGATGCACATTTTTTTAATATTATTTTAAAGTAAGTGTCAATATTTTTAACTTTTAGTGACCCTACTATTTTTTGTTTTATAACTTGTGATGGTGTACTTTTTATATAAAATTTACTCAAAAGTTAAAAATAACTGAAATTCTTGTCACGTATTTGATGTGCCTATTTAGAGAGTTATTTATTACATCTTTAATGCTTTAATTAATTACATCTCAAAAAATCATTTTTTTCGAGACTATATAACATAATTTTCGATAATCAATTAGTGTTATAAATCAATTAGTGTTATAAATCAATTAGTGTTATAAATCAATTAGTGTTATAAATCAATTCAGTCTACATTTTGTTATATTTGTTTCAAAAAATAAGTGAAAATTTTTTGTGTCTTTTTGAAGCTCTAGACTTGGTCAAATATTTTGTTAAATAACTCAAATTTCTCTAATAATTAATAACAATTTTTTATCATAAACTACAATATATATAGATTATATTTATAGACAAAATCATGAAATTAAATGAATTTTAAAAATCCAATTTTTTGATATTGTGAAATGGACTTGCACATAACCTTTATTAGGGATTGTCCATAGATTATGCAATTCTAAATATATTTAAAAAATAGAAATAGGAGATCTTAAGCACTTTTCCAAGTTTATTTTAATTAAACTTAATGAGATGTTTTGACTTTTTATTTAGCTTTTATATAACAGACAGGCTCTGCAAGGGAAAACTTTTGATCATTTTTGTTTTATTTATTAGTGAAATTTAGTGTTTTGGTAAAATTATAAAGCATAGATTTGTTTTTAGTCATTTCATCTCTCTGGTTTGTCTTCTGATAAACCACAGTTTTTGACTAAATCTGTCAGTGGATTTGTAATTTTCAATGTTATTATTTATACAATGCTGGTGGGACAGTTAGTTTCAAACAACATTCTTGCTCAGCCAATAAAAGTAAGTTTGGTTTTACTCACTTTGTTTAGATTTTTGTAAGAAAATTGTTTTCAACCTATCAGTATTAAAATACTTACTCTAATATTATTTTATATATAAATAATGTAATAATTATTTTATATATAAATGTTAAATAATATGATAATTATTTTATATATAAATATTAAATAATATAATATAATAATTATTTTATATATAAATATTAAATAATATAAATATATAATAATAAATATTATAATAAAAATTATAAAATCTATTATTTTTTATTATAGTTTTTTTCTGTATTTTTGAATTAATTAGCATTTATTTAAACTTTTACTGCTGTTAAATTTAATATGAATATTTACGTGTTGCTTTTTTTGGTTAGAAGTGTGGCTGTAATAAAATGTAACTTTTTTGTAAACTATAATTCTGCTGGTCAATTATTGAAAATTATTACTACAGCTTGCCCCAATTATAACCAACAAAAAAATATTTATTGTTCTTTATAGATATATAAGTTACAAAAATTATTTATGTACTAACTTACAATGCACATAAGCGTATTGGAAGTCCTTATAATAAATAGAGTAAATTTTTATATTATTTAGTAAAAAGTTTTGTTTTTTTAAAATATTTTTGTTGGAGTTAAAAAAACAATAAATTTTTATAAAACAGAATTGTAATAATATAAAATCTATTATTAATTTAATACTACCTTAAAATCAAACTTGTAACAATTTGTATAAAATTAATTTCCCAGTAATTAAAAAACAATATTTAACACTTTATAAAAAAAAAAAAAAATAACAGTATTACAAAATACTTTTAGCATAAAAGGTATAATGTCATAAAATCTTCTTCATTAAGTTTATATTGAACAAAGTATTTCGTATTGAGCAAGGTGAACAATTATTTTTACCATATTAAAATATTATTCTTTAAACGTTGTTTCAATATTTGTAATACTTTTCTTTTTTTTAGTCTCAAATAAATGTTGTTATAAATGGTGTCTATGCTTTTCTCATGTTCTTTGTTCTTGTGTTCTTCCTTATTTATGGTGTTGAAATATTTTGCAAGGTATTTTATATTTTATTTTATATTTAAATAAAGATTTTATTTGGCATTCTTATTTTGAAAGAAATTGAGAGAAAAACAAACACGGATTTTTTTTATCAAATGTCAGCATTTACTTATAAATTTGACAAATAATTTTATTTTAATTATTTTACTTAGAATTAATACAGATATTTATTTTTATATCATTTTATTTGTTTGTTTTTTTTACAATAGATGTCTTCACAGTTTCAATAATTTCATGCGCGCGCATATTCAATAGTACATCATGGTTGAAAACAGTAAATGCACATATAAATTAAGATAGTAACCTTAAAATAAATAGTTGTTTACTTAAGATTTTTTGTATTTTTTCATAAAAAAGATTTAAAAAATTTATTTAGCTTTATAGAAGTTTATTTTAACCATTTTTAATCTAAAATCTATATTGTTTATATGTTTTTGTTATATAATATTTGTAAAAAAAAAATGAGCTTTCGGGATTAATAATATATATTAATATTGATATTTAATATTGATTAATAAAAATGAGCTTTTAAGAAAG